AAACTGCTTCAGAATTCAAACTCCAGTAGTTCCTACAACTGCCTTCCCTTAAAGGGAACAGACTTGGGAATCCACCCAAATACAGATTCTAGAGACATTTGCAGGGACGAATGAAAAAAAGAGAATACTATCTATTTACAAAAGTGGAGGTATGCACTCAGAGCAAAGGTTTGGAGCATTAAGTATATTCTTCCAGCTTCTGGACAGGGGGAACTATCCAAGCCTCCTCAAGTTTTCTGAAGTACCTGAGCCCGGAGGACAGCCATGGTTTCAAGTTCTTCCTCTTGCTTAGCAATGGTCTGCTTAATTTCATCCAGTTGAAGCTGTTTTGTAGCCAAGGCCTTCTCTGCCAGCTCTAGCTTTTTACTGAGTTCTTCTACCACCACCTTCTCCACTCTCTCTGACTGCAAGGAAAAGTGATTGTGATCAGTCAAGTGGCTTTTTTAAAGAAACCTCTCCCAGCTCCCTGAGAGTTCCAGGTCCCAGGAGTACAACAGCCAGCTATCATCATTACTGCCTTGAGCAACATTTCATTTAAAATTCATATTGCAAGCATTCTGCTTCACACTGGTTTAAGTAGTTTCTTTGTGGCATGATATAGGCTACAATGGATTTTTCCTTGCCACAATGGCAAGGTCTCTTAAACAACACACAAGACAATTCAGAGATAAGATGCAACTGAACTCCATTCATTGCACACGTTGCAGCATATATTGTACGGTACATAACTGTGTGCATTGTAAGTCATGGCGATGAGTCCTAGTTATGGACAACAGCTCACTGTGCTAAGATTATACTGCTATAATCGATACTAATGTCAAGGCTCCCAGGTTTGGACCAAAAAAAAATGCAGCAAACTATATCCAGACTAATGCATATGCGAGAGAAACGTGACTGCACTATTGCTCTCTAGTCGGTAAATTTAGAATGGCTCAAGCAGATGCCTGTGGCATAATGTACTCTGTTAAACTAAATCATCTTTGTGATTCAAAAAAGGCTATGTGCTTTCCCAGAGTATGTACTTACTGCATGTGTAATGTTAACAGTGTACACAGCTATGTCAGCATTGCTATTAGAGATTTGAAAGGAACCAGAGCTAGTCAGTTTTGAAGCTCCTACTAGAAACCTACTCAGAAAGGCACTAGAATTGCTTGCCATCGCTGGATGTTAAATGCAGGTTAGACAAACACTTGGCTGGGATGGCTTAGGCAAGGGTGATCCCACATTAAACAGGGGACTAGGCTAACTGACCTCCTGGGAGCTGTTCCAGTCATACACTTTTTAGAATTGAGCCTTCAAAATGAAAGGAAGCACAATCTCACAACTGACCAGCTCTCATCCTTTTTAAGGCTTCTCATAACAGAGGCACTGCTGCTTCCCCCTTCACAGCTTCTGCACCAAATAGCACAATGTAAGTGCATCCCCTGGCCCTTATCTGCAGTGCTGCAAAGCACACACATGGCAGCTATATGCATTCACAGTGCTGTGGTGAGTTTTTATGACACCAGGAGATCCCAGTGTCAAAAAAAACAAACGCGGTCAAAAAAGCAGGGCAATGCAGCATGAGTTGCCCAAAACCAGAGCCTGGTTGGCCAGAGCCAGGCTCTGGCTGCCAGCCAGGCTCTGTGCACCTGCATCACTGCTGCTGTAGCCCTGGAAGGCCCCCTGCTGCTGCTATTAGTGCTGCTGCTGTTAGTCCCTGAGGAAATGCACGTTCCCGCTTGTGGGGATGCACTCTTTAAGTGCATACACTTACATTACAAAATAGGCAGTGGGGTTGTAAGGTTCTATGCCCTTTATGGATATGCCAATAACCAGTGTTTGTTATAATGTAGGCAACAGGGAAAGAATTGGGACTAGCAATGTATTTTGCAGTTAAGTGAATTATGCTGTTATCTGGGATGCATATAAATGCAATACACTCTTGTAGATGACAGCTAGCGTTCCGCATTCTTGGTTTTTACCGATTTTCACTGCTAAATTCCCTGATTATTTATTTATTTTTAAGTCATTTGGTTTTTACTGATTTACACCTGTTTTTCAGTTCAAATCCCTGTTAGCCAGCACAAATGGGGAATGGCCCATTTCCCACTCATGCCAGTTAAGAGGGATTTGAACTGAAAAGTGGGTGGTGTCGGTAAGCTGGAAGTGCCACTGTGCTGGTTATGTGAAACATAGATTTTCAGCTGGATGCAGGGGGTGGGGGTAGTGGCAGCAGTCACATGCAGACCAGGGGTGGGGTGAGGGGGTGGTGGTGGCTGCTTGGGGGGAGGGGGACAGTGGCTGGAGCCACTACCTGGGGCTCCTGGCTTTGAACCCGGGCAGGGCAGGATAGGCCATGGGAATTGTTCCCAGGGTGGGCAGGTCCTACCTGCACCCCAGCGGCTCTGGATCTAGGAGCTGTGAGCCTTGACCCCTGCCTGGGGCAGGGGGGGCAGGCAGGAGAGCCCAGCTCCACTCCCAGTGGCAGGGGATTGGACCTGGGTGCTTGGCACAGGCCTGCAGGGCTGCAGCCATTATCCAGGGACACAGGGCTCCCAGGTCTGACCCCGGGCAGGGCGGGAGGTGCAGCGGTTGGGGTCAGGTTCCCCTCCCGGTGCTGCTGCCCGCCTCAAGCACCGGGAAGAGCCCAGTGCTGTCACCAGCCCCAGCCTGCAGTGGCAGCAGGCTGCAGCGAAAGCAGGCTGCTGGCCGCTTGCAGCACCCGGAAGAGCCTGGGGCTGGTGGAAGCACCAGGCTCTTCCTGGTGCTCACGGCAGGTGGCAGCCTACTCTTGTCCTGCACGCAGATCCCGGGGCATGCGCCTCCCCAAGAAGAGCCTGGCACAGCCCCGCAGCCTGCAGCCCTCCTGGGGGGCGCGTAACAAGAGCTGTGCCCCAGCCCCATACCCACTGACAGCTCCCTCCACTTTGCTCCCTGCTGCAGCTGCAGGAGCAGCCGATGGGCTTTGCTGCGCCCCTGCCCCTTCCCTAGTCCCAGCCTTACTCCCTCCCTCCCTCACGGACGATTTTTCCTTGATTTAAACTGATTTTTTCCCTTTAGCCCAATTTCATCCCAATTTTTATGTTTTGAAGATAAAGCCCCCAAAATTCCTGGATTTTGTTTTTTTAAATAAAATCTGGAAATGCGGAACACTAATGACAGCCAAGCAGAGATCAGCACTAGTACAGCAGAGGGGAGACTGAAATGGTGACACCTGTTTTTCCTGGAACAGAAGACTTCAAGGTCTGCCCTTGCCAATGATCACAAAAGTCTACAGTGCTCTGGCATGTTGTCTAGATGGCAAACTGAAGCTCTCAGTCACAGAATTGTTATTACAGATTCTCAGCGCCCCCCCCCCCCCCAAAATTCACTGTAGTTTTTTTTCATGACCAAATTCCCTCTTTGTTTTTAGTTTTTCAACCTGTTCTCCC